CAGACACCCCTTGATGACGTTCCGTACTGTGGGTCTTATTTTTACAACCCACAGCCGCTGCCGTAGCTCATTCACTACCGCTTCTATACCGCCGTGGTGCATTGTTTCATGTATATGTTGTATATACAGACGTGTATATCTGTGTTTCCCGTCTAACACGGGTGGGTTGAGTACATCCTTTTCTACGTTCGATGTTGCTGTAATTCGTCCTCTTAATCGCAGCATTCCGGTTGTGTCGATGTAGGTACTTAGCGCTGTCAGTCTGTCTTGTTTATTCAATGGACTTCCCTTTTTTATTCGCAATATTTCATTCCCGAAACTATCTTCCTGGCAGGCTCGCATCCACATTCTCTCGGCTTCAAGTAGGTACTGCGCTGGCACCGGGATGCTGGGCGTCGTTATTTTCGTTCTTCCATTTCTTGTTATGATTTTTTCATTATTCTTTTTTTTCCAGTCAACATCGCCCTTTTCATTCTGCTTGGTTCGTTTCTTCGTGGCGGCTACAATATTTCTTTGAGGTCGACAGAGATCGACAAATTGTAGCACGCGCGCAGTCGATTTGATGAGCGGCAGCCACCGCGAGAATCGGTCGATGTCAGGTAAGTGTGCGTGAGCCGTACTTGTAACGGTCACATGGCATCTCTCTCGCTCTTCGCCCGTGACTGATATCGCTGTCCTTGTTTCTCGCGGCCACTCGTTTTCTGGCTGATGTAAAAATGATGGCCCGTTGAACCATCTGTGCTGTGGTCCGAATTCGCTTGGTATACCTCGGGTGGCATCATCAGCTACATTTTCATGTGTAGGGACCCACCGCCATTCATTTTTTTTTGTTGTCTTCTATTTCAGCCAGGCGGTGAGCACAAAGGTCTTAAAGGCCCTTGGTTCTGACCTTATCCATGCTAGGACTGTCCGAGAGTCGCTCCAGTATGTTTTACTCGCTATTTCGTAGTCGTGCTCCTCCGCCACGGTATGTGCGAGGCGCGCACCCATTAACGCAGCTTGAAGTTCAAGTCTCGGGATTGAGACGGGCTTGAGCGGTGCGACGCGACTTTTAGCGGCGGCCAAGGTGACATGTGTGGTACCGTCGGCTCTTTGTGACAGCCAGTACACTGCCGCGGCGTACGCCTCTTCACTGGCATCCACGAAGGTATGCAGATGATGGGTGACCACTGGTGTGACATCATAGCATCGTGGTATGCGTATCTTGTGTACAGTTCGCAATGATGTCAACCAAGTACTCCATGCTGGCTGCAGTTCTTCTGGTAGCGATTCGTCCCAGCCTGTTTTATAGCGCCATGTATCCTGCAGTAATCTTTTCGCTGGCGTTGTGATGGGTGATATGAGGCCAAGGGGGTCGAAGAGTGCCATGATGATGCTGAGCGCTTCTCTTTTCGTTGGTATCCGTTTGTTTTCTAATATATCTTGCGGCGTTTTTATTTTGTTAACTTGAAATCCAATTATGTCTTCATTTATATCCCATAACAAGCCGAGAGCTCGCTCAGTACCGCTCCCGCCAATCAGAACCGCTGTACTATTTGTCCCGCTCTCTGAAGTGTTGTCTCGCTCGCTTGCTATAAACTCGTCGATAGTATTGCGATTGTTTGATGCCCATCCGCTGAGTACGAAGCCGGTTTGTTTATGTATATAATCGACTTCTCTTGTTATTTTTCTGGCTTCTGAGATTGATGAGAAGCTTTGTAGATAGTCGTCCATATAATGATTTCTTCGTATAGCGATTGCGGCGTCGGGATATATATGCGCGTAGTCTTCTGCGTTGCGGTTTTTTATATACAGAGCGGTGCAGGGTGATGACGTCGCTCCGAATATTAATGACGTCATGCGGTACTCGTCTGGGTCGCCCTCCCGCCGGTCACCTCTCCACAGGAAACGGAGCGCGTCGCGGTCTTCTTTCTTAATTTTTACTTGCATAAACATCTCTTTGATATCTGCAGAGACTCCGTAGGCGTACTGTCTGAACCTCATCACCACCCCAGGCAGTGATTGCAACAGGTCAGGTCCAGAAAGCAGCAGGTCGTTTAGGCTGAGACCTGCAGTCTTAGCGGAGGCGTCATGCACCAGTCGCGGCGGCTTGTGTGGCTTCGCTGGGTTCGCAACCGGGAAGTGTGGCAGGTACCATGTTCTGTCTTCAGCTGGCGGTGTCTTGGCGTGCTCTGCATACCCCGACGTGAGTAGGTTATTGATTCGTTCGTTGTATTTAATTTTCAGGTCTTCATCTCTGTCTAATCTCTTTTCGAGGTTATGCAGGCGTTTTCTTGCTTCGGTGTAATTGTTCGGTATTTTCATGCTGTCTTCTCGCCAGAGTAGCCCAGTTTCATATCTTCCATTCGGAAGACGGCGACTTTCTCGTTCTAGTATTTTCAAAGCTCGCTGCTCTGGATCATTTTTTGGTTTTCTGGGTTCGATGCATAGTGACTCCAGCTTGAAGTAATTTTTCATCATTTCTTCTATGTTGACGTCATCTTTCTTCTCCACCAGGTGCCCGCAGAAAGTCACCGGGTTGCTGAGAGACGTCTTGCAACCATGCAGAACCCAACCTAGTAGCGTGTAGGATGCTACCGGTTGGTCACGACGTCCCGCCCGTACTTCTCTTGACACGATGAGATCCCAGTTATCTTGTCCTATTAATAACTTGGGGGAGGCACGGTGGTAGACGAGTTCTTCTTGTATTTCTTTCAGGTGACCACACTCCTTTATGTCGCTGTCGACGACCGACTGGGTAGTGATATCCAGTCGATCCACTGTGCGGACTTGATCTAGCTTGAAGATGGTTGAAGAGTGTTTGCCCTTGATTTTCACGCTGGTTGTCTTGCTGTGTTCATGCTTGACCATGGCGCCGACGCCCTGTATCCACATCGTGTTTGCCGGACCATCAATACCCAGGATGTCAGCCACCGATGTATCGATGAGTGTCACTGTGCTGCCTTCGTCGAGAAGAGCGTATGTTTCTATCTTGCTCTTCGGCCCTTGCAATATGACAGGTACTATTTTCAGATAGGCGCGACGTCGGAGACATTCTTCATTGCCTTCCATCGTAGAAGTTACCACCCCATGCTCTTCTGGTGGTTGTTGAAGCTGGTCCTCTTCTTTTCTGTCATGATGCAACAAGTGATGGTGTTTCATGTGGCATCCAGATTTGCCACACCATGGAGCTCTGCAGACGGCGCGTCGATGTTTACTTCTCAGGCACTTGTAGCATATGTTATTCTTCTTTGCAGTTTCCCATCTTGAATTAACGTCGATGTTATTGAATTGCTCGCAGTCAGGCAGCTGATGGTTGCGTTTGCACAGCGGACATACATTTTCATTGTTTTGCTTCATATTAGTAGCAAATGAATGTTCTGTTCAAAATAAAAGATCTTCCGTCTCGCTCTCTCCCTTGTTGCCGTCTCGCTCTCAACGAGACGTTCCGGCGCGGCGTACGCTGCACATTTGTCTGCCTCTTCGTTTAGGAAGACAGACATTTTCTTCAATTCCGGGATGTCTTCCTTTTTCAGCGCGTAGTCGTACCATTTATTTTTTATTATAGGTGTGAGCTTCTCTATGATGAGACGTGTCATTTCTGGGCTGTGTAGATATTGTGTTTTCTTCAGTGCTTCAATCGTAGCGACTGTGTTCGCTATTTTGCCGGCGAACACGCAGAGATCCCGTGGGTTATCGGTGATCTTGCTCAGTGACTTGATTCTATCCATCTCGATGAGTATGAGTGCTTCTGGTCTTCCGAATCTTCTTTCCAGTGCTTCTATGATGACATTTGGTTCATGTTGACTCAGGAGTAGGCTGCTCACGGCGTCTAGTGCTGGTCCCTTTATACATTTTCGCAGGCGTGCTACGTTTTCTATCTTCGAGAAGTATTGCTGTGTATCTTCGTAGCTTGCCTTGAATGATAACCATTCATAAGAGAGGCCCCTGAACATAGGCAACTCTTGTATATATGCAGGCGGCTCCCTTGGTCGTCTTCTTGATGCTTGCAGTAGTGCTGTCGTTAATGTCGAAACGTCGATGGTTTGCTGCGGTTGCTTGAATTTCCTCTCCGCGGCTGCCTCATCTTGTTTCTCCTCCCGTGGCATAGGAACTTCTTTTTCGCGTGGCTGTTGATCAAACCACGCATCCACCCACGTGGAGTCTTCATTTTCTTCTTCAGAATATTCTTCCTCGGAGTCTTTTTCTGCCCGTAAACGTTGTAATCGCGCTATCTCCATATCTGCCTCTGCTTGCAGCTGTTTGATTTTTAACTTGGCCAGTCGTTCTTTAATCTCCAATTCTTCCAGTTTTTTCCTTGAGACCGTGGAACGGTGTGACCTCGCCTTCACTGTTTTCTGGGAGGTGTCTTCTCTATTCGGTGAGTCCTCCACCAGAATGACTTGACTGCATAGAGGATTCGGCGCTTGTTTCGTTTTCGGTGGATTCATGCGAGTTTTTCGTTTTAGTGCCTTCTTCATTCATGCTTCGCGTCACGACCATCTTGATTTTCTTCCTGGTGCAGGGATCCGGCTCGAAGGACCACAATGATGATGACAGGACTATATACTAGGATCCCCTGGTCGTATGGTCGGGCGGCGAAATAAAAATGCTCGGTTGTTATCTTGTACTTGGTAGGAAGGCACCTATCGGGTCGCTGTCTCGCCGGTGAATGCGGACCGCTGCGCGGCCGCGCTCTTTATATAGACGCCCGACGGGTGGCCTTCCCTACTGCAACTGTACGTTGCGTGATTTATTTTTATTAACAAAAATGATCTTACAAATTTTGCTTATACTAATTATATCTAATTGATTCCGTCGTGTACAGAACTAATGCCAAAACTGTAAGGTTTCTTATGTGTTGGCACCGCGGTGACACCCCTGGTGTTTCAGTAGTTCAGGCTACGCTAACCATTTACCTTCAGATGCTTAATTGTCGCCACTGTGGTATAAAATTACTGTAGCAGTCGTATATGTACATTATTATTATTTGTTAGTAATTATTTTTATTGTTTCCACAGCCGGCTGTCGGCCCGCTGGGCGCTGTCAGCAAAATCCACAAGTCCGACCGCAAGATTGGACATCGGCGCGTGGGAGAAGGCGGCGAGATCACTTATAAGAAGATACAGTCGTCCCAGATTATGGGATCTATACAGCTTGGTATGGCTCTTTACATATATAGTTTAATGGTAGAATATGGAGTGGTCCATTCTTTATCTAACACGGTATACTCTGGCGCCAGTGGTAGATGGTATGAGAATGAATCTAAGTCAGAACATAATAAGAGGAGATATAACACATATATATATATAACACATCGCTACTAAGAATATCCTTTAATTTTTGTCCCTGACGGGTCTAGGTTGCGAACTTTGAAAAAAAAAAACGTTGAGCACAATAGATCTATGTAGTTCGCAGTGGTACAGGTTCAAACACTTGACAATAGCTCAAACCCCCCAATAAAAAAATAGGACATAGTGCCTAATTCGCCTCTTATTAATCACAATGGCCGTAATGGTCGACCCGACCTGACATGGTATATTACCAACACAGGGTTCACTATTCTCTAATCCTAACAATCAGCTCTCCTCTATCCATAGAGTTTATTCTATAATCTTGTCACATCAGTCGCATTGGACGCGCGTAGTCCTCTCTAACAGCAAGATAAAACTCATGAATGTGTTAATGGCTTTATAAATGGATACCGTTGTTGCCAGAATTCCTAATTTTCGAATGATCATCTACATGGGCTGATTGTCGACCTATATCTCTACATGTTCGTATATTAAGTTAAGATTTCTTAGTGTGTTCTAACAAAAAAATCATACGTATACTTTACCCCGCTAAATAACTTAGTTACATTACAAAAATACGCGAAATTATTCTACTAAAAAAATTATACGTTGATAGAAATATGGTCGCATGATAGTGTAATAAGTTCTTTAGTCAACCGTACTATAGGGAGATGATTGTAACAGCTTATACAAAGGTAACTACGTGACATATGCCGACCCTTGTCATACAAGTATTGGAGAAAATATTTCGAATACCAGTAGCGTTGTTATCTATCGATAAAACACCTAGATATGCGTAAAAAGGTGTGACCGCCAAGACAAAATACGAGTATCGCAAAATAAATACAAATATTCTAATCAATATTGTTTTTTTTTTATAAAAGCAACACAATCTGTTTAACAGATCAGATGTTTATGTGTCACGAAAATGTATAATGTGTAATTAATTCACAACAGTATATCCGAATCGAAATACATTATTTGATGATTTCATATTGTTAACTGACGATTAATTTCTTTCTTTGCTTCATTCTTTCTTTCTTTCTTATTCAAACCTATAAGAAAGGACCATAAACCTTAAGGATTGGCACTAAAAATGGGAGCAAACAGGTGTTACAGTAATCATTATCCGTCAGGCTAACCGGTATAAAAAAACATTACTATTTCAGAGATAAACACTTTAGACTTTATTATGGCAAACAAGTTAAAGCGATTATGTAAGTTAATGTCAAAGTTTGCGTATCTCAAGGTTCCGTTTTGAGGCCTTTTCTTTGACATTAATAATAATAATTAGCCTTGTCAATAACATAATGTAAACCTATGTTTATACTGATGATGTTGGATATGTTTTTAATAGTTCAAATTTCGACTTTTAATAAGTACGTTAGAATCCCTTGCAGCTCTTATCACACATTGTCTTAATTTATAATCCCCCTCACTTAACTTGTGATATAATTTATGACTGTCCACAAAGCAGAGCAATACAGCTAGTATATTTATATTTGGATAGGTAATCATACACGAAGTTTCTAAAGTAACACCACCACTCATACCACTGATCATTGAGGTATCAACATAAAGCAATGTTTTATCGTAATTTGCGAAACCAGCCGGTTGCAAAACAACATTATACCATATTTTGTAAACAAACCTATAGCACTTAGTTGTGTTGATGTGCAGTGTTTAAAATTAGATCATGTTAACTAATATAGACATACACAAGTTTAGACTTTCCAACCTATGTACAGAGCATGTACAAAGTGATTTATTGCACTTTTGTTTGTTTCTGTAGCTTTCTAGTTAAGAGCCTTTGTTAGCTGTTTTGTTATGTCTTGTAAATCAGTTGTATAGTCGTTATTTGATATTGCTACTAATATTATAAATACTAATGTTTATTTGAATGGATAAATGTTTGTTCCTCTTTCACAAAGAAATTGGATTTAAATAATATTTTACAAACAATTGGGCGAGATCATTTCAATTTTACAATTTTATGTCAAGAAATCAGAAATGAGTATTAGTTCCATTTAAAATACTGATTGAAATATGATGTCACAAAATTTATTACTCGTCCGATGCTTTGTCATACAACGTCATACTTTACTTGTCGTTTCCGTCGGTCACAAGTGACATAATTTTTTAATCAACTCTAGTAGGTCTTCTGGAATTATGGCAGATTGATTTAAATGTGACGTCACGAAATTTATGACTCTTCTGATCTCTTGTCATACAACGTCATACTTCATTTATCGCCTTCGTCACTCACATGTGACGTAATTATTGAATCTAATCTAGTAGGTCTTCTGCAAATAGGGCGGATTCGCAGAAGACCTACACAAGTAGTAAAAGAAGTGAATTAATATGCAATAGACGCTTGCACGGGAAAGACAAAGACCTCTAACATTGCTGTCTCTTTCTATACCATTCGGGAGCTATTTATTTAATATCATTAGTTCTATTTGCCACTAGTTTCTTTCCTTCTCGTTTCTTTACTTGAAATTACAGGTTTAGAAACATGTTATTTATCCAGAATGGCAACATATAAATATTATAACGGGTGTTCCATGATAACTTGATGTCGTAGTGCCGTTTATGTATATAGGCGATGGTTAGCGTTTACCATCAGGTGGGCCGTTAGCTTGTTTGTTATTCAAATTACATAAAAGAAACGTCCAGTCTACAATTCTCCAATATCTATGCCACATGTGTAGAATAGATGTTATGTAGTATTATGTATATTGTATAGTTATTCTAGTGACCCAGATCGCATGTTTAGCGTTGCTGTAAATTCTGTAACATTTGTCTGTTTAACAAGGTCGGGTTGGGGGGAGACTGTTAGTAATGGGGACTTGTATTAACTACCCAGCAAGTTGACCTCCACGCGGTTCCCTTTTAAACCATAGTGATAACCAATATTCTTTCTGATAACCATATTTTTTGCAATTCAAAGAACCATATTCTTTGCGAAGTTAAGACAGCGCATGCCAAAATAACTTGCACAAATCTTTCGCCCATTTTACACATCACATAGTCTTTTTAATTTAAAGACGATGTGTTATTCCAAGGGCTAGGTTTTTTTTTATACTACGATGATGGCAAAGAAGCCACCTGCCTATCTAAAGGTAAAAGGATACCGTAGCCTAGGAATATTGCTGTAATGTTTATATAAATCCGTTTAACAGTGTGATAGGGCAACAAACGCCCATATATAATACCGTGGGACTAGATCGCGCTGTGTTAATTGTCCAAGATTATTTATTTATTTTCTTTTATAAAAAGTCGCGTTTTGTTTGTGAGCGGAAAATGGCCAAGAAAGGTCGGAGCTACCGTTATTAATGTTTGCATACTTTTAATGACTAATCCTGATGCCGCATAGCTGAGAATATATCCAAGAATGATTCATTATACGGATGATTGTTTATATCACATATTCATAGAAATGTTTTGTTTTCATTCAATGGTAATGACACGGGAGTTACAAATTGTGCCAACTAATAAATTAACTTTTTTAATGATAATGGAATTATGCTCTAACGGCTTCAGCTGCTCCAGTTGAAGGTGATAAAATGCGCATAAAGTTAGTTTTTAGTGGCCTAACCCTTGAGGGGTATCACCACCGTCACATGTCGATTATCGGCATCGCACATGTGACAATCTTGGTGGATCATGCGTCCATAGGTTACGGTAACCGTTTACCATCAGATGGGCCGCATGCTTGTTTGCCATCTACGTGGTATAAAAAATATGCAGATTGAGTTGCATGGAATTCTGTATGTAAAATCGTCATTTTTGAAGTTAGAACGATGAAACTTTTTTATTATAACTTTTTTATTGGGTTAGATTATTAAATATTTTTCATTACTTGGTCCACGTCACTATTTTACGCGAACGAATGCGTGGGTACAACTAGTTAATAATAAACGCGAAAGTTTAATTATAAGTATTAGACGATTTGCTATTTGCGTAAAAGAAAATTAACTTTCCACGTTTGTTATTGTGTTTCTTTTTAAATGTAGCTGCAATCGATTTTGTTTGTGTTTGAACGCTGTAAGTAACACACGGCAGCCTATTTTCAGGTTTACCGTATACGTACAGTGAATAGTACTGTGTGCGGTCTATTAATGGAGTTTGCAGTTCAAGGCCGTGACATTGAAGCGTTTTCATTACGTTTTCCCACTAGTAACAATAAATTGTCGCGGATTTTGATGCCTGTTTACTCTGTAGTGGATTACTGTAGTTTTCTCTGTTGATGACTAGGTCTCCGCCCGCGATTTTGTTCGTTGGACCGTGATGAGTCGGGAATAAGAGTAGTATATGTCGTCGTAATAAGTAATAATAATCGAGGCGTGTGTTTAACACGTGAATTTTGGTTTTAGAAATGTATAAATGATATAAGTATAAATATATAAATTGTTTAGTAAAAATATACTGAATACTGATAATATTGCTCGGCCTTCTGGTCATATCAGTCATTTCCTCTGGCGCATAAATATTAACTGTAGTAACGTAATGTGGTAATTGTTTAATACAAAATAACGTAAACAAACTAAAAACAATGTATATCTATAACAATGTATATACGGCTGTAATAAAGTCATATCGAGTCACAACGCGAGCTTTAAAGCGTTTGCGGCCAGGGTCCAGGGTCACCAACATGCTGCCCATCTTGCAGGAGGACTACTGGCCGAAGAGGGTATCGGCGCTACCGTGGCAGATTGCTGTCGTCGGTGCCGTGACCATAGATACAATTTGAATTTATATATTTTATTACTAGCTGACCAAGCAAACGTTGTCTTGCCTTATAAATTAAAATTGCCTTAGGCCTTATAAATAAAAAATAGGGGTTAGTGGTAGAAGGCTGAAAATTTAGGGTTGATTGTATTTTTCAATGCTAATTCATAATGAAAAAAAAAAAATGTTAAAAAAGTAAAAAAAAAATTTTTTGGTGATGTCATCTTAACGCTTATGAGTATAAAAATAATTATAAACCTATTCTCATACCTACTGAATATACATATAAAATATCACCAATCGGTCAAGCCGTTTCGGAGGAGTATAAACACAAAACCTGTGATACGAGAATTTTATATATTACATTACTTCTTATGTATGTTAGTCAATAGTATTAGGTAGGTTAGGTAGGTATTTGTAATATGGGCCATGTAGCTTGAATTAAATAAATAAATAAAAAATGGGGAGTCACAGGTTAGCAATTATCAACATCATGGTGTGACAACACTTGACATATCCACATTTTATTAGTTCCTCTAGTTTTTCATAGTGGTGGTATTATGCCTTTTATTTGTTTAATGGGGTTAATAGAAATATATTTTCGGGTATTAATTGACGGCCTCAGTGGTCTAGCTGTTTAGCACAGCGCCTTGCTTCCGATGGTCCCAGTTTCGATTCCTCGCACGGCACAAACATTAGTTATAATTGTTTTTTTTATACTACGATAATGGCAATAACGCATACAGTTCATCTGATGGTGCGTTGCCGACTCTTATCATTTGAATTCATGTGTATTATTGTTTCTGTCTAGGTGTTTTGTATGTATAATAGGTATGTATTTACGAAAAAAAAATCTACATGTTATCTAGTACCCATAACACAAGAGTTTAATTTGGGTCTAGATGGTGCTGTGTAAATTATCCTGAGATTATTATTATTGTAAAAAAAACTAAAATATATTGTTTATTTATTCTCCAGGAATCCAACACGCAATCGGTGGTCTCGCGTCGAAACCAGAACGCGATCTGCTCATGCAGGACTTCATGACGGTGGAAACGACGAACTTCCCCCACGAGGGATCGAACCACACGCCCGCTCACCACTACTCCGAGTTCAAGTTCAAAACGTACGCGCCGATTGCATTCAGATACTTTCGAGATCTGTTCGGTATACAGCCGGATGATTTCTTGGTGAGTTGTCGTGATTCTTAATTAAAAATTCTATATCCACTGCTTTGCCTCATAACAAAATATATGGTATTTTGTTATGGGGACATAATGCTATGGAAATAGGTAAAGTAGACAAATCTGTTTTGTTGTCTAATTCTTCTTACCGCATAGCGGCAGCAATAAGTCGACTCGCCAATTTAGAAAAATGGGCATCTCATTGCAACTTGGAGTCTATTGTGATGTAGAATCTAGAAACACAGTATCATCAACAAAATTTATAGGTTTATTGTCCAATACCATTTTAATCTATCTGCCTTAAATTAAGGAGCATAAATTTATTACACTTAGTTCCGTTTGTAGGGTGCAGATTAATCAGTGAAATTACAAGGTAAGTGGTATGACATCTTAGCCTCTGCAATGGCAACGCTATATATGTAATAGGATGGGAATGACGTGTGATTACTACTAATCTATAGTGTAATATGAAGAATCAAAATCTGTGGTCGGGTTAAACAAAATTATTTTTTTATATTACCTTTAGATAGATAGAAGGAATATAAATTAGTAACTACATAAAACAAGCAATATAGAAACTTAATCTAGCATTTAAAATATTAGTTGGCTTATCCAAATGCAACATCTAAATTAAAAACCTAGTTTTGATTGGATATATGGGTATATTCCAGATGTCAATGTGCAGCGCGCCACTCAGAGAACTGAGTAACCCGGGCGCATCCGGTAGCATATTCTACCTCACGAACGACGACGAGTTCATCATAAAAACTGTGCAACATAAAGAAGGGGAGTTTCTACAGAAACTATTGCCCGGATACTATTTGAATCTCGATCAGGTAAGAATTCAAATTTAGATAATTATTAAATATCTTTGATTGCCAAATATTAAATTGCCTGGTTTTGCAGGGGTGCTATAATTTTGGGATCAATAATTGTAGTACAAACTAGTAGCCATCTAGTGACGATAAATGTAAATAAAATATTTATACACCGCCATCTATTATTTTGTTACTTAATTAATTAACAATTGTAGATAGCGTATTTAACATTAATATAGAAAATATGCTCGCAGAAAATTCGAAATAGTTAAATTTCAGGAAGAGGTTTTGTTTGAGTATTTTTTTTTAAATATTTTTAACCTATATGTAAACACGTTTAACGACATATTCCATGAAAATTTCATCATAATTCCTCCAGCCGCATTTTCGTTAAAGTTAACGACACACATAAAGACTAGCTTTATTTTGATTGTTGATTTCATTATATGTTCCTGAAGATAAAAATCGTATACACTCATACATTTTAGTAAATAACCATATTGTTTATGAGAACAGTTTCTAAGTCATTGTCCCAGTTACAATCTCTTGTTGCCATCTGTGTCAATCGAGCCATAGTAATTTATCAAATTTAAAATATTTTTTCTAATTCTATAATAAGTAATGAATGCTAATGATTTATTTATTTGTAAAATTAACATTTTTTCTTTACAATTACTATTGCAATTTAGAAATTTATCTATCCTTAACCTATTATAGTTTTACATGATATTATTAAAAATATATATACCTGAATCATATATACTTGCTTTTTATATATAACATACTATGTTTATTTACTTTGTGAAACGTTCCGTAGTGTATGATCAAAGACATCAGTAACTCTCCACAAACAAACATTGTCATAAGTACGTTATGGTGGGTTATAACCACTATTTAGTTTAAACTGAAGAAATTATATTTCCGTCTATTTCCTATATACATATATTATATTATTTCTCCAGAAAGTAATGAGTCTGTGTTAGTTGCTGTTGAATTCGACACGATGGGCCCACCTGACGTCATTCTCATTCTATCATCCTTAATTTGTACGTTTGTACGTTCCTACGTTTACCGCTAGCTCAAGCGAATGCTCCATTAACAAAAAAGGTTATTTATTAATGGTGCATTGGACATGCGTACATGGATTTGAGTAGGGGGAAGGGGATTTTAGTAATGTGAACTAATAATCCTTTGCTAGCTGCAAGAAGCTGTACCATGTCGATAAATTGTCATTTACCAAGATGGGCTAACTGACCTGACTTCATGCTCATTTTGTCATCCTCCATTGGTGCCCCGCCAGCGTAAACCAATAGCGCAAGCTAGTGCAACATTCCATTATCATTCATACAAAAAATAGCCCCTAGGTTTGAGATAGTCTCGCAATTTATCATACTATCGTATTTCTTGTACTATATTTAGAGTATTAATAGAAATCTTAGGCTGGATACAGATATATGCGGCATTCCCGGTCCGCCCCACTCCCGGCCCAGGCCGGTACGATGCGCCACGCTAGCGACCAACTCTCGGGCTCGGCTCAGTCCAATCAGGTAGACGCACCTGTTGACGACCTAGGCATCACGCAGAGTTTTGCATATTATTTCAATGTAGAATCACGATGTAGCCGGCACCTAGTTTAGTGCTTTTTTTGTTTAATTAAATAGGGTACATGCCGATTGTGTAAAATATAAAAATGTATAGAAATAACGGAATTATCTACGCTTTGATTCACTATAGTGACGTCACTTTGCATGATTGTTCATTCAAACTAGTGAGTCAATGTGCGTTGACCCCACTGCACCCCGTCCCCCGCTCCCCTATTTGACTTTACTAGTAAAGACAGCGATGAGACAATGTAATATGGATTCTATTCCACATAATTAGCATCTCATTTGGACCGTTGTGCGTGTAGTACAGCGATCTGTCGTTGTATCATTTTAATAGCGCGGTTTAGGCGATCAATAATGTGATTATACCTTTCGGATTTATACGAGGACAGACCTGCACTTGCTCCAGATTTTTTGTAAATATTTTTAATATCTTCTCTCTCTCCGAATTACAACTATAGAAAAATATAGGCGAGATGGGTCTGAAATTGAGTGTCTAAGTGTTTAGTAAAAAAAAGCAAACACCCGCTTCCTACGGCGGTAGCTTGTTTTAATTTAGGAAATTTTCGCATGCAAAAATGTGTTTATTAAAAAATAAAGTAAATCTTATAATTTCCCCATTCCTGGAGAAATTGCGGGGCCAAAAGAACAACAACAATTATTATTTAAAACAACTAATTTCGTTTTTTAATTGCTTCTTTATTCTAAATCATATCCAATTAAAACTCTTCTGAGGCTAACTCTTAATTTCTCTACTCTACAATATCTTTAATTAGCCACAATCACGGCGCTAGACCACTATGTGTATTTAACACTTAAATAATGATCCTCAATTTCATCAGCCGGAAGTTGACCTTAAGCCGTTCCATAAGCCTTACGCGAGTTGAAGCTATAAAGGCCAGCTACGGCCAACAGCACTAGAGTAATCTAAAAAAAATCGTAAATGACGTCACTTGTTAATGTTAAACCTTTTATCCTCTCATCTGCGAAGGAGCCAATTATTCGACTCGGACACTATAGCCCCATCTGTGGGAAATCGAAATGATCTTTATTCAAATAAACTCAATACAAGCACTTTTGAATAGTCATACTTTTCGGAACGCAAATTCATCACAAGAAGAATGAGCAAGAAACTTGTATGTTGGTTTTTTGAATACATTTTTTTTTTAATATAATAGTGAGAAGCCCTGTAATTGGTCTCACAACAATGGGACGTTAATGTCATTTTGACAGCTGACGGTTGAAAGGTTATAAATGTTATGAAAATCCATGTACTAGTGTTTTTGGTGTTTAAATTTGTCAGAGAAGACTTGTACGGCTGATTAATTCATGATATACAAAAAAAATGGTAACTTCATATTTAGAAGTCATACTTTCTACTTCATTAATTATACAATATTTAATCAATTTGTACTGTATTTAAATAAATAAATAAATTGCTAATTTGCGCTTCACATTTAATTAGGCCGTTCCCGCCATTTTTACAATCAGCCTCTGTCAACTGCACAGAGTACGTTATGAACAATATTAATTATGCCAAAGACTATATATACTACACAATTATAATAAAAGTTCGATAAGGATAATAATATTTTTGTAGAAAAACTTAAAATTCATACCGCTTTCAATATTATCTGATTGCACTAAGAATGAGTGCGTAGCGGTAATGTTGATTATATATAACACAATAATAAGTAAAAACTTGTTATTGCGTAATTATTTATATAACGAAAAAATCTATTCAAAAGGGCAACACACAAGTTTCTTGCTCATTCTTCTTGTGATGAGTCTGCGTTCCGAATGAGTGGTAGAATAAAAAATATGACTATTCAAAAGTGCTGGTACTGAGTTTATTTGAATAATCTTTATTCAAATAAACTCAGTACTTCTATTTCTAACATGACTTAAACCAATAAAACCCAACTCAGTTTAAGGTGCATGTACCCTATTGATGACGTCATTAATTCGAGCGTATATTTCGTACCCTGAGTTTGTTCGCTTGCTGGCTGCCCACCCCGCCGCCGTTATTTGTCGTAAAGCGATCCCGATGTTTTTTTTTTTAATTTCACCTTGTAGCTTTTATATATAGTGATTAAACATAAGAATAAACCCCTTATTATGTTATCCATAAGAACGGAAAATGTTTGATATTATTTTGTTACTTCAGTTAGAAGATTTAACGGAGTGAGAGAGATACAGAGTGATCGTTGTTATCTTACTAATATTATAAACGTGAAACTTTGTGAGTATGGATGGATAGATGTTTGTTACACTTTCACACAAAAATTACTGAACGGATTTTGATAAAATTTTACATAGTAATATAGCTCATAATCAGAATAACACATAGGCTATAAATTTCACGCAGGTGTAACCGCGGGCACAGCTAGTATTAATATTAGTATAAACATATATATGTATAATAGTATTAGTATAAACATATACATGTGTATGTATTAATATGTATATTATAATGTTTATTAGAGGTTTGCTAAAAAAAATTATAAAATGGTTTGGGTGGTCATGGGAGGTGGTAATATCAGTTACCATTAGATGAGCCGTGAGCTGGTTTGTCCCTTGTACTATAAAAAAAAACTTAGTTCCTTTAACTTTTGTAATTGGTATAAATAATGACATCGTAATAATTTAAAATGTGTATAATTATAATAACTAAAATTGACATCCTCTCAAGAACATATCGTCGGATCTTCGCTAAACTCGACCGAGGTAGATTTTGAGTAAATGTCCTCTGCGTGGAGTGGTGTTTAGTATACATGTATTTACTATATTCCAGCTAGAAGCCTCTCCTACATATGTTTCTTTATATATTTCTTGTGATCATACGGCCCAAAAGTGAATCTGTTCGATTCACACTTGGCACATTTTCGGAAATAGACAATAGTGTCAATATTTGATAAGCTGCAACATAATTTGGATATTAGAATATATGCTGTATAAATAGAAATCATAATTTTAATTATGAAAAGAGTACAATATTGTTTGTTCAACTGCGTAAAGCATATAAAATTGGTGCATATGCGTGTATTGTTCCGGTTGTTTGCTATCATTTGGGTTAAACACATTGGTTTCCATTCATTTTGATTGCGATTTCGTTGGTGCGAAATGTTCTCCTAGGAGCTGTAATAAGGGTCCATACATAAATTACGTCACACGTTAAGGTGTTGGAAGGAGGTTGACAGAATGTGACTGTGTGACTATGAGTGGGAATTCTTTGTCACACAATGTCACATTTTGTCCTCTTTAATGTTTTAAATTTCTTGAGGTCACATTTTAATCTATACTTATAATATTATAAAGCTGAAGAGTTTGTTTGTTTGAACGCGCTAATATCAGGAAGTACTAGTTCGAATTGAATAATTATTTTTGTCTTGGATAGTCCATTTGTCGAGGAAGGCTATAAGGTATATAACTTTAGCGTAATGTTAAAGCCAATTAGCGTAGCTTAAAGCCTTCCTCGACCAATAGGAGCGGAGCTGCAATGAAAAATATTATAAAAGATGGTGAAATGAAATGCAGACGAAGTTGTACAGGTCAGCTAGTGTATAATATATCTAAATGTGTGTCTGTGAATAAAATATATAAAATTTGAACTAAAAATATTTTCAATTCAATCTACTATTTTAGTGCAAAATTGTGACGTCCCACTAGGAGGGGAGACTCCCACAAATGTGACCACCTGTGACAATGACGGTGAAGGGATCAAAAATCAAGAAATTCGTGATATAATTTCGCACAATGTCGCTTGAAATATTATGATGTTTTTATGGATGATAATAGAATGGTGCACCCGCCTGCGCTAACTGTATATGCTGGCGGGGCACCAGTGGAGGATGATAGGATGGGGGTGAAGACAGATCAGTTAACTCATCGTGACTATTAACAACGGTTTCCATGGGGTCTCGAGGAGATCTATCTGATATAGTACATTAATATATGACGTAAGGGAAAAGTTCAAGTTGCACGAGTCAGCTAGTATGATGTAATATTGTTTTATTTCCCTCAGAACCCGCGGACGTTACTACCAAAGTTCTTCGGCCTGTACTGCTACCAGTGTAACAGTAAGAATGTACGGCTGGTCGCAATGAACAACATACTACCGTCCTCTGTGAAGCTTCACCAGAAATATGATTTAAAGGGATCCACGTATAAAAGGAAGGTTAGTAGTCTGCTAAATGTGATAAAGAACTTTTTAAATGGTAGATCACGCTATATGACGCTAGGTTGTGCAACATGACTGGGCCTGCTCGAACAGGGGGCAGAGGATAGGCTGCGGTAATTTCTAACAGTGGGCAAACTAGTCTAAATTCAACGTTAAATCTATACAAACGTGTGTATATATATATCTTATCTTATATATATATATATCTGTCTGTATATGTAAGATAAGAAAATCTATTATTAGGCCGACTTACATGAACACATGAACTCTCATCACAATGATCGTTATAGTTTTTGTCTGTATGTGTTAATACTAGAAACAGTTTAACCAATTTGTATTTGTTTTATTCCAATCGTTGGTTTATAAACATAAAACATGCGGTTTCAACTATTAATAATAAATAATCTTCTGTAGTTCTGTCCGTCTGTCTACTCACCTTTTGTTGTTTAAACCACAAAACCAATGTTGAAGAATTTTTATTGTTTAGTTACTGATATGAAAACTATACGAGCTTTGTAATTTCCCAATATTATCACTTAGGAAGAAAAACGAATTTATAAATTTACGTTTGTCAGATTAATCGGAATAATTTGTTCCATTATCGGTATGTATGTCACCGGATAGTTTGTTACAAATACAATATCACGCATAATGTTTTGCAGGCAAACAAATCAGAACGACAGAAGTCATCGCCCACTTACAAGGACTTGGACTTCATGGACCACCACCCCGAGGGCATATTCCTCGAAGCGGACACATATACCGCTCTCACGAAGACTATGCAACGGGACTGTAGGGTCTTGGAGAGTTTTAAGGTGAGTCACCTTTACTGATAATCGCCTTTTACGCCATCTTTACGAAATTTATATATTGAAATTTAAAGCGCGGGTAAAACCGCGAGCATACCTAGTTAATATTATAAACGCGAAAGCTTGTGAGTATGGGTGGATGTTGGATACTCTTATTTGAAACTTTATAGTAATATAACTTATACATTAAAATAACATGAAGGCTATAAATTTCACGCGTGTAAAACCGCGGGCACAGTTAGTATGCAATAATATTATTTCTTATGATATAGGTTATTATTTCACGCGTGTAAAACGCGGGCACAGTTAGTATGCAATAATATTATTTCTTATGATATAGGTTATTAGTAGACTTAAATTAATAAAACAAAATTTTTTTGTACGTCCACAGATTTTGTAGTCCCATTGTTACCTCTTTGTCTCGTTTATTGTTTAGAGGAATAATAAAGAGTTCATTCATTCATTCATTCACAGATTATGGATTATTCACTGCTAGTCGGCATCCACAATCTGGATGAGGCGCAGCGTGAGAAGACGGAATCAAGGAAGCGGACTGACTCCGGCCAAAGCGATGATGATGCTGAGGGGGAACCGAAACGTAGCGGACTCAACCGGACCAGGTGAGACGTTATATAATTTCTTATAACTGAAGATATGTGATTGCCCCCCGGGCAAAAACGATACTGCTATGGCTTATTTGCAGCTTTATGTCATTTCGTATAGCTGAAAATCTGTGTTTGCCCGCCGGGCAAAAACGATACTGAGCTATGGCTCATTTACACCGTTATGTCATTTAGTATAGCTGAAAATCTGTGTTTGCCCGCCGGGCAAAAACGATACTGAGTTATGGCTCATTTACACCGTTATGTCATTTCGTATAGCTGAAAATCTGTGTTTGCCCGCCGGGCAAAAACGATACTGAGCTATGGCTCATTTACACCGTTATGTCATTTAGTATAGCTGAAAATCTGTGTTTGCCCACCGGGCAAAAACGATGCTGAGCAATGACTTATTTACACCATTATGTCATTTCGTATAGCTGAAAATCTGTGTTTGCCCGCCGGTAAAACGATACTCAGCTACGGCTTTTGCACTGCTGTAGCACACAATGCACAAGGTCCTAATATATCTATGTGTGATTTTTTATGCATTTGCGTTATTTTTAATTAAGATTTAAGAGCAATTTCACATTAAATTTGTTACGTCATATAACACATTTTTTCGCAAAATATTCAATATTCTTTATTGCACAAATAATATAAAGATATTATAATATAAAATATAATATAATATAAATCTATTGCCAATATAATGCATATATAAAATATACAACATCCTTATTTATAAAAGCAAATTTTATACATATATTCATTTCACTTTTGAGTGGGTTTGTCATAATTTTTTAAATCGTGTAAATATTTCGAAATGCCATAACACTCCAATTTGAAATATATTTATATATACTGTTACTGTAATATTATGAAAAGGCTCTTAACATATTTATTTTTTACTTCTATGTTGCACAAATTATATATTACACGAAACAATGTTCGAAATCAGTATATGTTTATGGAAAAAGGATTTGTTATATTAAGTAATGATTACGCATTTATTTATTATTGTTCTGACGATATGATTGTTAGGTAAGAATTTATTGTATTTTTTTTTTGGTGGCGGTAATGTATATACGGTTTTCAGGTCAGAGCAACTCAAGGAGGATTTCGGGACACAAGTAAAACGAACACAGTACGATATTTACTGTTTCTATGCTTGTAACTAACTCTTGTGTGGTGTTTCTCTCGATTCTAACCTGTATTGAAGTGATGTCTTAAGGTTCAATTTGCGTTACACTGTACTGATGCAGCAAATAATTTCTGTCTTATGTAGTGTACTTACCCGCCTCTAACCTGTATTGAAGTCATGTCTTAAGGTTTAATTTGCAATACACTGTGCTGATACAGCAACTAATTTTATTAGTATCCGGTTTTAAACGACTATGGAATTTCTATAATGTTATAAATACATTTATAATTGACCCTTTCGACCGTAGTTCCCCTAAAAAAACTTCTAAAGTAATGAAGAATTCTCATGTCACGATGTTAGTTATCATACGCAGCCGAAACGGCTTGACCGATTTTTTTAAATTTTATATGCATATATCCAGTAAGTCTGAGAATCAGCTGCTATCTATTTTTTATACCCCTCAGTGCTAAGTGTTGTCCACGCCTAACATTTGTTTTTATTTTATGATCTTTCTTTTTATTTTTTAATGCGACATTAAACATATAACCCTAAATTTACACCCTTCTATCACCAACCCATATTTCTGAATAGCGATTTTAATTCATTTTCTATGGTAAAACAACCTTTGTGAGATCAGCTAAGTAATAAAATAAAAACTATAAATTATTGAAATATAAAGTACAGTGTGGGGCAAATTAAATCTGTAAGGGTAGATATTAAATAAAAAAAACGTAACCTCCTTCTAAAACAGATTACAAACTGTCCTGAAGCTAAATGTTCTACTACCATACTACTAACATACTACACGAGTACTTGTGTAATTGCATGGATATGTATGTAGAGATACAAATTGGATGAGTGTGTGTAGGGGTGTGTGAAAGCATGTATTTTTTTATGGATGATAATGGAATGATGCACCCGGCTGCGCTAACGGTTTACGCTGGCGGGGCACCAGTGGAGGATGATAAGATGAGCATGAGATCACGTCAGCCCATCATGACAAATTCACCAGGAATTTGTCATGATTGCTTCCAGGGGGCACCGCGTGGAGGTCAACCTACGTTGTTAGCAATGGAGTCATCAGGCAACATTACTGACAACTCTCTTTCTTTCCCAGTGCATGTATTGTGTGTAGTCATTAATGTTATACAAAAATATATTTGTGATGTTTAATATATAATGGCAAATAAGCAGAATGTTCACACGATGGAAAGTTCATTTATACTACATAGGTGGTATACGGCCCATGTGATGGTAAACGGTTACCATAGCATATGGACGCCTGAAATACCAAGGAATGCAATGCGGGTTCCGACCCTTAAAATTCAAAACTAAACTGAGAACTAAGTGGTGACTGTCCCAAAAATAACACAATAATACTTTAACAATACCATTATAAAACTTGAGATGTAACTTATATATGCTATTTGTAATCATACATACAAATATATAATTTAATACTAATAACCAAAGCCTTGCTTGCAAATGTGATACTTCAAATTATTTTATATATAACTAACTGATACATCATACATTGCCGTTGCAAAATATCGTGCAATCCTCCATGGTCTATAAAAAGAGCAACACGCAAGTTTCTTGCTCGTTTTTCTTGTGATGAGACAGCTTTCCCAATGAGCGGTAGATTAAAAAAATGTAATTACTATTCAAAAGTGCTTCAATGTAAGTTTATTTGAATAAATGATTGTCTATTCTATTCTATTCAATTCTATTGATTTAGCGCACCATGTTAATTAGCACCCAGACCGATACAAACAATCATACAAATGTTTGCATCATGTGAGCAATCGAACCCGCGACCATCGGATGTAAAACAGTGTGCTAATTCGATAGAACTACGAGGACGAACGAAAGGAAATATTTTATAAGACATTTGAATATTTTTTCTGGATTTGAATATGGCAGATTTAGGTTAAGCTCTGGCAGTTTGTTGTAATAATTTTGTTTGTTGTGCCCAGGTCCATAAATCGTCAACGGTTGGTTGCGCACTCCACGGCGATGGAGAGTATTCAAGCGGAGAGCGAGCCCATTGACGAGGAGGAAGATGTGCCGTATGTATTACTTGTACATAAAAAAATAGCAAATTTATCTTTTATGTATTACTTTACTTACTTTTACTTATATATTACTTATCTATAGACGGACAGACAACGACGGCGACTTTGTTTTATACTATGTAATGATTAGAAATTAGGATTAAGATAAGATGTTGTTTTTGTAAGTTCAGTGTATCGAAACAATTTCATTTTCAATTCCAGCCCCGGCGGTATTCCGGCGAGGAACGCGCGAGGGGAGCGCCTACTCCTGTTCCTGGGTATCATCGATATACTGCAGTCTTACCGGCTGCGGAAGAAGCTGGAACACACGTGGAAGAGTATGATACACGACGGGGTGAGTATATTCACATACCATTTATTTTTCGAGTTCAATAATAATAATAATAATTACCATAGACAATTCGCATAGCGCCATCTAGTACTAAATAATTATACAACTGATAGATATACTAGTAGAGTACTAAGTATTTCTATCAATTGTATAATTATTGGTATTGGATGGTAAACGATTACCCGAGACGCCTGAAACACTTTCCTTTTTGTTGTTCAGAATATTGTTATACATAACACAGTATACCTTATAAATAACGTAGTGTAACTCAGTATATACATTGTTTTTGTTGGATTTGTTTAGCAAAATCACTGGCTGTAAGTGAAGCCTTTGACAAAATACAATCCGTACAGTAAAGTGTCACTTGCCGAAATATGACGTCACAGATCTACGACATGTTTGCGATTGTGACACACAATACATGATGGCCTCGGTGTTCTAGCGGATTTACTTCCGATGGTCGCGGGTTCGATTCCTCGCACGGTACAAACATATTCATGAGTATGATTGTTTGTATCGGTCTGCGTGTTTTCTATGTATATTATGTATTTACTAAAAAATCTAAGTATTTAAAAAAAGATTTTAAAAAATCTAAGTATCTAAGTATATCAATTGTCTAGTACCCATAACACAAGCTCTGCTTACTGTGGGACTAGATGCCCCTGTGTTAATTGTCCAGGGGTTGTTTATTATTATTATTACTTGACATTCTAATAATTTGCTGGCTATTTTTTTAATATAATGTTGTTACGAGACGAGTCTACCGCCTTCTCCCGTCTGTCATCACCTTAGTCAGATTTATTTGGAATTTTTGGATCTGCGGTCTCCATCACCAGAGTGTAAGAAATTAAATTGTGACAAGGTTTATCTGGTATCGAATAGATTTGAACACAAGACTTTTGGTTTAGGAACTAGATAACGACGCATTTAATAATTGTTTTCTTTATATGTATTTTTTTTTCAGGACACCGTTTCAGTCCACAGACCGAACTTCTACGCGCAGAGGTTTCTAGCTTTCATGGCCAAAACTGTGTTCAAGAAAATACCTTCGTGTAAGTTTATGTCTGCTATGCTATACTATCTTGAACTTTAAATGATGAACTATATGGTTCTTTTTAAAATAACGGAAATATCACATTGATAACAAATAAACATACTTTATTATGTGGTGTACACAAATGTATACTTAACGTAATTTTTATTGGTAGGAAAAAGAAATGGTGTTGAGGAGAATATATTTCGCGGAAACCCCAAGTCGAGAATTTTTAAGCTTATAAACAATAGCTTTTCCTGCCCGTTTTAAGTGAAAGGTGGACTATGTCTGCTCTGTTGATACAATCTGTGTTTACGTTAAATTTCATTAATATCCATCAGCCGTTTAATCGTATGTTGGTAACAAAGAGACGTACAGATATAATCACGCGAACATTGGTTTTGATTCAATTTTGTATACCTTTTTAAATGCCACATTTTATGAAGTACGTTTATTGAAGAAAAGTTATCTTTACTGTTTAGGGTAATAATTAGCTAATTAACTATTTCTCTGAGCAGATAACTCTAATGAATATACTATGAAAAAATAATATAGTTTCGACATAGGGTTTATTTTTTGTAATAACTATAAAAAAAAATAGAGTAATATAATTCTTTTTGTTCTTATTATTCTTAATATGTGATCAATCCAGTTGTTTACCATTTTGGTTAGAAATTATTCATCATCACGCTAAAACCTAAGTACAAAAATAGACCCTCTCCAAGTAGTTATAAAATTGATATTTCATCAAAAGCTATTTATGTGTAATACCTAACTTTAATGTGTCTAATTTATTCTCTAATCCACAATAGGAGACGCTGTATTTTGGTAATATATATATGTATATTCGAGGCACTAGATATATTCATATTATATATGTACAAGTTTACTATTGGTTATGATCAAAAGTCAGATAATAATATTCATGAGACTTAATAAATATCACCAAAAGTAAAGTGGAATTTGAAAAGATTGTTTTAAATCTCTTTTTTTTTTATTTGGGGTGTTTGGGTCAGGTGCTTGAACCTGTAACACTGCGACCTACATAGATCTATTGTGCTCGCCCTTTTTCAGAGTTCGCTACCTAGACTCGTCAGGGACAAGAATTGAAGGATATTCTTAGGAGCGAAACTCTCATACAAACTGTACGGTCATGTAATTAATTTAGTATGAAAGGTTTTTTTTATTATTTACTAGCGACCTGTCCCGACTAAGCATGGATGCATTACAAATCTTTGAATTTCTCGGCTTATTCTATACTATAACACGCTAGTATTGGGCATATAAACGTACCTCTTGAATCACTTGTCTATTGCTGAAAACTGCATTGAAAACCGTTGCGTTAAAAGATATAAGCGGATGGACTGCGGCGATGACATTATTATATACTATGGAATAACTATAATTATTTGTATAATATATATTAAATGATAATTTTAAAAGCCCATTACAAATAATCACAGTTCTATACGGGACGTCACTATTTATATAAAAATATACAGTAAAAAGTTATTTTCGCCACCCAAAAGCACATTGTGGAGCTTCCGACGACGCTGTTTCCGAAACGATACGATATTGAAACCTTCAAGAAAAGAGCTTATTCTATTGAAACGTTCTGGTGTTTATGGGCGGCGGTAATCACTTACCATCAGGTCAGCCTCAATCTCGTTTGTCCCTTATGTTATAAAATATATGAATTGACCGCTAAATCATATTAAAATTTCCACTTTGTTTTTTGGTGAACATGATTTAGTTTCAGAGTATTTTATGTTACTTTGACTTCATCCTCTTCATACCCTTTACTAGTAAGTAATAGTAAACACATATACAAAATATATGTTTATTTCTTTATAAAAATCTAGTCTCTCGGAAATAATTCAATAACGCTGTGTAACTTTGTGTTGTAATTTTGTGATGTTTGTTCAGGTAGAGTGATTAGGTAAAATTGTATTGGATAATTTGTTAATTAGTATTTTTTCTTGTAATTGATGATATTGGAATGGTGCACCCGCCTGCGCTAACGGTTTAAGCTGGCGGGGCACCAGTGGAGGATGATAAGATGAACATGAGGTCAGGTCAGTTAGCCCATCGTGACAAATTCTCCAAGAATATATCATGGTTTCCAGGGAGAAATGCGTGGAAGTCAATCTGACATGGTACATTGGTAGCAATGGGCTCAGCAGTCCACATTACTAACAGTCCTCTTCTACCATGTTATTTTGTATGCAGTATGAAGGAAATTAAAATAAATTAATCATTTTTATAGATACCAATGAAATATTGTATAGTGACTTACATAAATAATAGGAAATTAAGTAAACGTTTTTGTCAGAAATGTGGTGTAAGCTATGTTCTCTTATTCATAAAACTCGAATCGTCTATTAAATTCGTTTATCCTTTTCTTCGGCAAATTTTGTATATTTGAAAAAAAGTGACAAAACATTCTTAATATTTAAAACAGTTTTGTAGGTTCCGTTTTTATGAATTTAGGGGTAGAGTTTAGATTGGTGTTTCCTTCACTTGCACAGTACAGGACAATGTTCTGTCTCTTTCATGACGTAATAAATAATTGAAAGTCGAATTAAAATCAAACTTAATGACATTGTGTTTCATATGGATAATTAAGCTTGAACAGACATCACGCCTATAATTCGTTACGGCGTAGCGACACTCGTTATTTTTTATATAATATTAAGTTAATCATCTTTAATTAAATATTAAATATCAATAATTAAAAAAAAACTTCGTTAGACAAGGTGGTAAACATCATATACGTATATTAATATTTACAGAATGATCATGTCAAGATGATTGGCACCGTAATGATGAGTTTGACAGGTTTTTTAAAGTTGTGACTTTGTCACGATTGTGATATTCTGTCACAGTTACAAAATGTTTTCGGCATCCTAGCATACAAGTGTCGTTTAAGTATAAGTTATCTGCAATTGATGTTATGTATGTTTAATTATTTTGCATTAAATGATATTACGTCAGTATAAATGTATTCCTTTGCCAAGTATAAAAAAAAAGCGAGTGTTGCTCACAAAATAACATGGGCGTATTGTTAATTAGTGGACCTCCCCGAGATCAAAGGCAACCACCGCAAGTTCAGAACGCTGGTGACCAGTTACATAGGTACCGTTCGATGCACATGACGTATGTGTTGTGACGTGTGTAGGGGGGCGGGTGTTGGTGTTAAGCGGCGTGATTTTTTTTTATTACCCAGACCCCATTTACATAATGCTATTTGAGCTAAAGAAAACATCGAATAACAGCTAGAAATCTTAAAAAAAAAATACAAAAAGAAAAAAAAACATGTCAATACTCATATCAGTATTAACGTCGGAGTAAATATGTTAGGTATGTCAGTAGGGGCAGCATTTATAAATCAGGTCGTTGTTAGAAAGTATATTGAAGTAAAAGTAAATTGGAGACATAAAAGGTGTATTCAATAGTATAACACAATTAAGAATTAGTATGTCAGCAGAAGTTTTTTATTGTCTATTTTATTTTCCCGCGTTACGCGCCACAGATGCACAATATTGCACAGCACGCAGTCGCAGTAGGATGAGCGGGTCATAGCTGTATGCGACGCTAATACAAGTATGAGTGTGAAATAAAATCAAAGACAGAGAAATCTAGATTTTCCTTTGTCTTTTTAATTAATAATCCAAGTAAGTTCTTTTTTATAATTATTGTAAGTATGCTGATAGATCATAGGCTACATCTGAAATATTTTGAAGGTATTTAATTAGAATAATTTTAGCAAATATTTATTTAATGATTATAACCGTTTGCTATTTATATATATTTCCACGTGGAATGGCCAAGTATACATACAGATAAAAGCAAGTATCCGTCCCTATTAAGCTCATGAGTAGTTCATGGAAGTTTTTTACCGTTTACCTATCTGATGGTAAACAGTAAAAACTCTGTATCTGTATGCTGGAGTGCCATTACTGGTATACAAAAATAGAGTTTTTAACGTTATTTATAATTAAAATACAGTATGACAACGGCACCAACACCCAAACCTTTCCGTAGGAGTTTTAAATTACGCTGATGTATTTTGTTTATTAACATTTAATTTACATTTTATTTTCTTTATTATTAAACGCAATTGAAATTTTATTAGGCATGTTACACTTATTTTTTATAGTATTCATTTTTCGTTCGTTCTAAATTTGAAAATTGGATGCATTTTTTTTTTGTTTATAACAAGTTAATATATTTCGCATGACTTGTTTTATGTGAGTGAGTCATGCACGCCAACCCAGTTCCTAATGAGACAGTGTTGCCAATTGCCAAAAATAATATCTGTGTTTTTTCCATTTTTTTTTTCCAAACAATTGTCCGTAATCGGATTCTGGCGCGCATCTGTGGAGGTCTAAGTGAGTCCCTGTTATTGTGGGATGTTATCCGACGCATGATGTTTGTCTGTTATCATTGATATATCCATCTCCTTTTATCCCTTTCTCTCTAATATATGTACTTCTTACTCTATAAAATTGTTATATTCACAAAGAAATTAAAAATTACGACACATTTTTCATGAACTTCAATAAAAGGAGTTTTTTAATTCTCCAATGTTTTTATCTCTGGACTTTTGTATACGCGAACCGATTTTATTGATTCTATTTTTATTTGAAATCTGGTGTTTCACGCGTGGTTTTAAATTTGACCAGCTTTTGAGTTATCTTTAATGAAGCTTAATCCCATCATTGGTTTTTCCATCACTTGAACACGTTTATTTTTTTATATATGTTATTGTCACTTACCAATCTGGATTTTATAGATTATGATATCTGTGTATTTTTATTTATACTTCTGTAAAGGAATCTGTAATATTCTTTTCAAATATAAAACATGAATTGATGTTTAAAACATGAAAAATGTGTTTATAACAGTTTTTATAGAAAATAGTAGTTGTCTATCAACCATTGCTAATTTAATCGACTAAGATCATGTATACCGATTCTCTGGTCCATATATTCTCCATCTGTAGTTAGAACCCTCTCATGTCTGTTCTCGTGCTCCCATATGACTCTTATCTCTTTCTTTCTAAGAGAAAATATGCACGATTCTTTTTTTAAATCATTAAATCTCGAAAAGCAAATTAAATAATCAAAAACTATTTTTTTTATTTACTTTCTGGCTGCGTGCAAAATAGATACGTTCTAAATTTAAAATTATAAAATTTAAGACACCAGTAATTTGCTTTTGGAGAATTTACGAAATCTATATTTGAATTTTTCACTATGCTTCCATTGTATTCTAGAGTCCTGATTGGTTATTTTTGATTTGCAATACTATGACGTCACTGCGGTTGATTTGACAGCTTTCTTTATAGAGATTTTCGGTTGCCCATTCCACCTATTATTTTTTTTATAAAGTGTTATTGTGGTCATTTATACATATAATAAAAATTTTACTACTCGCTGTTTGTATCTGAAAAATATATGAAAAATCTAATATATAAATATATGTCTTTTTAATGCAAATAGTCGATAACACTAAAAATGTACTAACACAAAATTTTAAGTGCTTACATATAAGTGAAAAGCACCCAAATCTGTTAACCCATATCTGAGATTACCACTCATAAACGTACATACAAACAGACAAAAATCGTAACGTAACGTAATAATAATATTACTTCTATATATTACTCTTATTCAATAAGACAAAAATTCTAACATCCCATTTATTGGGTTTTATCATAATGATAAAATTCTACTTTCTCCTCCCTTAATTGTTTGATATATATTTTACATACAGACACCGATCTGTAACGTACTTATTTATGTTTTTTTCCATGAATGCCACAATAATACTTCGCATGAGATATACAGCAAAATAGTGTAAATTAAAAATTCCATGTTTTACGTTCACAGCACTGAAACACTCTCCGTCTAAGAGGAAGAGCATTGCGAAACCGGCGAGACCACAGGACGAGATCGAAGCGGCAGGTATGTAAAGCAATATGATCATTATGGGCATGTCAATTGGGTTCACAATGCAATGTTTCATTACTATAACTTTGTATTAAATTTGCTATATATTCATTTTTATTCCCCACCGATCGATCTCCATCCAATTCAAACGGGGATCGAAATTACGACGTTCTGAGCCGAGGTTCAAACCCCTAGCGGTGCCCTCAGAATAAAGTCGTATCCGTCAGGCGGGAGTTGGCCTTCAGCCGCTCCATAAGTCCTTAATCCTTCCACGGGTTTGGAGCGCCATGTGCACTCGCTCCCTATCGTCAGTGAAACTGTAAAGGCCAGCTGCGATCAACAGCATTTCAGTAGACCTAAAAAAAACAATTTTATTGTATATATTACTTCCGCAAACACTTAAATTGTGGAATAAACTACCTGCTGAGGTTTTCTCGACAAACTACAGCATGGGGTTTTTCAAAAAGGGTATATATTTAGGGTTCTTAATGGTCGGTAACGCGCACGTGACACCCCTGGTGTTTCAGGCGTCCATAGGCTACGGTAACCGTTTACCGTGGCCCGTATGCTTGTTTGCCGACGTCGTAGTATAACAAAAAAAAATATGTAAAACAATAAAGATCTTCCCAAACAACGAGACTAGCTTTTCAATGGGACAACATAAGTTAATAATAATATAACAAAATAAAACAGAAAGTATTGTGAACTCAATTATGAAAATAAAAGGCTCGAGTAACTAATATTCAATTTTATTAACCATTTTTTATTTTTTTAACAAGTAGTATTTGAACCCTAATATTCCTAACAGTGAATGCAAAAGTATTTTATTTTGGTACCTATATATTATTAGTAGTATACATTTCAGTTTATTTTGAACCCCATCCTTTGTCCTATCCGGTGTTTGTTATCCAATAGCTAATATGGACCTTTCCTATACCTTCACCTAAAATAGTAAAAAAAAAATAGTATTTTATACTCATTGTTTCCATTTTTAAACGTATTTGATCGCGTTTTTTTTATGAAGTAAAAACCGTTTGTTGTGTGTTTGATGTGTTAAATGTGCGACCGACGTGTGCCTAACGGCATGGTTTGATAACCGAAGTGTGGGGGGAATAAACTGAAATGTACCATAGATAAAAAATAGCGTCCGCCTAAATCAACGGTCTTTTATCCAGGACGCATGTACATCGGGCGACCTATAATGGACTACAATCCAGATCTAATGAGAATGTCTAGATTATCGCCTAAATCGTCCAGACGGTCAAGTCTGAGTGACTTCACAGATACCACGATATCTACATGGAACCAGAGACATAACCAGGTCCCAGCAGAATATCCGTCTGTATTGTCCGATAGGCTCAAAACTATGGACAGGACGTTCCCTAGACGTATTGACTTTGACACTTCAAACCTAGGCGCTAGAGATCCCGCGACATCGTACGCTGAAAATGTATATACGATGGAGTCATTGTCTGATCAGCTGACGAAGGTCCTCAGCACCGGCGCTGGCAGCTCCCACATCAACGGTAGTCTAGCGGACAGTGGCATACAAACAGATAACACTAGCACAAGCGTACCGCAGATATACGTAGACCAACCGTCAACACCCGCCGGCGGTAAGGTCTACAAAGATGCATCGGTAGACACAAGAAATAAGAATAACCTTCAAGATATACCATTTATTGATGACGACGATGATTTCACCAAGTCTCCACGACGCAGAGTCGTTCTAGAGAAACATAAAAGCATGTCGAATATTCCAGAAAGAATAGACGAGGTCAGCTCGAAAGAACAGTCGAACGAGCGTCTCACGAACAGTCTAAACAGAGCGAAATCGCCGACGTTCGTAGAAAAGTTCAAGAAATTCTTTATGGATATTGGTCTAGTTAAAACGGAGAGTACGCCCAATACAGGTGCTAATACGCTACCAAAGAGCATGAACTCTAGTTATAGAACGAGGAGTGCAACGCCAACGGAGCTGGAAGGAAGGGACGCGTCCACTTTGCCCAAAGATATGAGGTTCCGGAAAGCGCGGTCGACACAAACGGTATACATAAAGCAGGAATCCCCAATTCCTTTGAAGAGGAATCAGGAGATACAAACGAAAGAACATGTGTCCGTTGTTCAACTAAATGGAGATGAACATATCAAGGACTCTGATACAACTGAGAGGGTTATTAAAGAAATCGTGTACATCAAGACCATAGAGCAGGCAGAGGTGCATACAACTAAAGAGAGCGGTAGCACAATTATAGTTGTACCACCGGCGGATTGAAGTATTTAATGTGACCTTCTGGATATTAATGTATTCTGGTAATGTTTTACCATAATTACTATTATGCACTTAATTACAAATTGAAGCTTGAGCTACTGATCTTGGGAAATAATTTTTGTTTCGTTTTCTTCAGGTTTTAGTTTGAAGTGATACGGAATAGATTAAAAGTATTATGAAAATTATGTATTAAATCGAAAATCTTGAATATAGACGTAGCTAATTTATTTTATTTGTTTATACGTAGTTTAATTTTAGAAGATTTTCCAAAGTTTGTATTTTTTATTGTAATGATCAGTTTGTTATTAGGTGCATAAATAATAATTGTATAGATATGAAACATATGCCACTGGCGTTCTTTGTTTAGTAATGGATGCTAGTAGAGTATCTATAGGCAATTGATTGTTATTAATGTATGACTGATATTAAGTTATTTATTCAAAGTCAATTAGAAGGCAAAGTGGTGTAACTTATAAAAAGTAGGATTTGAGTGTAACTATCACAGCAATGTTGAAGTTTCATACACTTTCAATTCAAAATTCATATTTAATCACCATATTTTCATACCATAAGAATCTGTAGTAGAACTACTATTACAGACTCTTATGGTATGTCAAATCTACCGTCAGATCGGAACGATTTCGAGATGAGAAGTACTGACAATAAACTCAACTCGTATTCATTTCAAATAAATGTTGTACTTGTTCACAATGTCTTACCTATTGCACCAAACAGCTTGTTTTTTGTAACATGTTTGTGTCGAAGGGTGAAGTAAAGCAGTGACTGTAATTTGACTGCTTGATAAGGAGGTATGATATGTTAGTCCTTCGGAATGGCAACCCATAAGTCACGGGCGTCACATGATGACGTAATATCCGTGTTACCATCTTACCATCAAGTTGACCATCAGCTTGTTCCGCATTCTAATTAAATTAAAATCTTTATCTACGTTATAGGTAAAGTATATTAAAAACACGCTTGAATATTGAACTAAAATGTAAGATAAAAGTTAAAGTAATATTGTTGCCTGATGCTTATAATTATTATTTAGAAAAAATGTAAACGTTGTCCATAAGTGCCTTCCAAATATCTTCCTATTAAATTAGGTTTATTTGATATTAAATTGATGATGTAAATTAAAAAAAAAATAGATAATGTTGGATTTCAGTATTTTGTTTAATGTGTGCAGTGTAAGATATAGTATGTGCGCGCGGTTCTCCTCGACATTTTTTAAATAGTTTTCGTATTCTGTGGAAATTCGTTTCTGTTTTATTTTGAGACTGGAGATTTTTGTATCCATAATATTTGAATCAGTTTTGTCACGAGAGAAGATTTATTGTATGTATTTTAAAATAAAAAACCTTTGTAACAAGTTGACAAGAATATTGTGTTTTATTAACGGTTGCAGATAATTTTCTTTTATGTATAAAAATTGAATTTAAACGAATATTGAGTATTGAGAAAATATTTAATTTTATTTTATTGTACAATTGATTTTATTGGATATTGGATATATCTGAAGAATCATATAAATATTTATATGGATTTTTAATATATATAATACAGGTAATTAAAAATCGATATGTAATTGAAACAAAATTATGTAATTTTCATAAGAATTTCTTCAAGCGTCTCACGTATATGACGTTATGTACGATATTATTTATTTATTTATTTGTTTACATAAAATTAAATGCACAAATATTATATACTAGTTGATCCGAGCAAATTTTGCTTCACATTTTCCCCGTTTTTGCAACATTTTTCATTGCTGCTCCACTCCTATTAGGCGTAGAATGATGTTATATAGTGTATAGCCTAGTTGATAAATGGTCTATTGAAGGCTAAAAGTATTTTCAAAATCGGATCAGTAGTATCACAGATCACAATGAACATCCAAACTCACAACCTTATACCTCTTTATAATATTAGTATAGATAAATGTAGATATTTCATTAACATATTCTCTACCAAACAATCAGATAGGGTAATCAGAGGTAGTCCTGTAATTATGTGATGATTTTTAAGAATATTAATCAATGAATGACTTATTTGTCATCAATGGTATCATGCTTATTATTGAATTGTTTAATTTTGTATATAAAATTATGGTTATCGTCTGTTCGTGCTGTATTTGACCAAAATGTGTATATAATGTTGTATTAAAACAAATAATGTTTGAATTGCCTTGTTTCATTTGTAATGTATGGATATTTTATTTATTATAAATAAATAGTTTATAACACCAACAGTAAAAATAAACAAGAAATTAATGATTGGAAATAAAAGCAAGTACAAAATTTTATACCTCTCGAATAAAACTTTTTTAAAGAGAGTATGATTAAAAATGTCTCTGCCGCCTGTACATAAGAAATAAGTCGATTTAAATAAGAAAGGTGTGCCTGAGCTAACGGTTTGCGCTGGCGGGGCACCAGGGGATGATTGTAAAATAATCAGGATAAGTCAGTTAGCCCATCATGACAAATTATCGACCAGGAATTTATCACGATGCTTTTCAGGGGAAACAGCATGTAGGTGAACATACTGACATAGTATGTTGTTAGCTATATGGTAATTAGTCCAGAATATTGACTGCCTCGATGGTCTAGTGGTTAAGCACACCGTTTTATTTCTGCTGGACGCGGGTTCTGTTCTTCCTCCCACGATCCAATCCACGTATAATTTTTTTGTATTGATCTGGCTGTTTTGTATTACATATGTGTTAACCAAAAAATGTATATAAGTAATGTCTAGTATCCATAAATCAAGCTCTACTTATCTTGGCACTAGATGGGGCTGACTGAATTGTCCAGGATTATTAAAAAAATATAGGCCGGTGTTTTTGAGCTTTCTAGTTAAGTTATTCAGGTGAGCCATATGTAAAATAAGAGATGTTCTAGATGACGAAATTCCAACGGATTTTTGGTGAAATGAAAAATGTAAAAAGAATGTTAATGTTGCGAAATAATGTATGATGTTAGTTCATACATATTCCCGGCCACGAAAGGAGATGTGAATGAAAATGCTGTAGTGTTAACGACCTTTATTATTACAAGATGATATACAATTGTTCCTTATAGATAATGTGTTAATGATTTTGTTGTTTGTATACTTAACGATTGAAGTCGATTTTTTCGTAGTCTGAAAACGCTTATACTTATTACTGTTTTAGTGATGTTTATTTTATTTATTTCATTATTTCAAGCTACTAGGCCCATATTACAAATATCTTATACATATGAATTAATATTATAAAACTATAATTCGTTTAATTTTATCATTATTTTTATGTGTGTTCAAATAAATTATGGTATTATAATATATATATTATTATTATTATACAATTTATACATTGATTTTTATATATATTAACAAAATAACATGTAAACTAACATTTCACGCTACCGGATTAGGTGTTGCTGGCTCCAGCAATACAGCGGGATGGAAAGCAGGTGAGATTCAGGATTGATGTATACCTATATGTGGTGGATTGTATTGTATATATAATGGATACGTACTATGATATTATTTAACTAGCTGACCCGTGCAACTTCGTCTGCGTCACATTGTCCCCGTTCCTGCAATAATTTTCATTGCAGCTCCGCTCCTATTAGTATAGCGTGATGTTATATAGTCTATAGCCTTTTTTGATGAACGGGCTATTGAAGACTAAAAGTATTTTCAAAATAGGATCAGTAGTACCGGAGATTACAACGAATATCCAAACTCACAAACTTTTACCTCTTTATGATGTTAGTATAGATAAATGTACATATATAATTACTATATTCTCTACCAAACAACCAGATAGACTTACCTAAGTTAGGTAAATACAAATAGTATGCCTTTTCCTATTACTGCCCTTCAACTTTCTGTTTTTACCCAATGGTTAGCTGGTAGAGAATGCCATGTGGCATTAAGCTATCCAATTGTACATTATTTTAGATAGTCCAATAAAGGATAAATAAATAAATAGAGTAATTATTTGACATAGATACTGTAATCCATAACTGCTTATGGATATTTAAAAATAAACAATGGGCGTATTAGTTGTTACAGCGTTGGATACGGTGGTAAAATTATGCTACGCAGACTAACTACAGCTTAGGTCTCAGAATGCGGTTGGTTACATGTAGGGTCCTAAAGGTCCCATACCTACAATATATTGACAGCCTCGGTGGTCTAGTGGTTTAGCACACCGCTTTACTATCCGATGGTCGTGGGTTCGATTCCTCGCACGGTACAAACATTTGTATTCATGAGTATGATTGTTTGTATCGGTCTGGGTGTTTTCTATGTATAATATGTATTTATTTACAAAAAAAAATGTATCCATGTATTTATATCAGTTGTCTAGTACCCATAAGACAAGTTCTGCTTAGCTTGGGACTAGATGGCGTTGTGTGAATTGTCCTGAAATATTATATTATATTATTATTATTATATTGTTAAGTTCGCGTTTTTGTTCATGTCTATAGGTGATAGTTACTATTTCATCAGGCGCGCAGCTAAATGACATTCAAATTATTAAAAATGGCAATTTTTAAATAGAATTCCCTGTCACAGTCCTGCTACGCTTTTTGCTTTTCTAGGCAACTGGGTCTTCCCAAATCAGTAAATTTGTTGTCATATATTATTTTTTCCATGCTGCTATCAACCTATCGGATCTGTTACTATTGGGTATACCTTCACACTTTTCGTTGTACCTCGACTCCTACTACTGCATGTTTTATTTCTTAATAACAACACTAATCTTTAATAATGCACTAACAATAAATACAACTCATTAACGGTCAAGCCCCATATAAAAAATATAATTACAAACACGCTATTTTGGACTTTTAAATAATATTAACCGTCTCTCGTAACTACGCTTCCATTTTAATACACAAATGTTTTTATTTGTTATAATATTTTTAATGTTATACTCTAAACGTGCCAAAACTTGCGTTTGTATCTATATAAATAAACCTATACGAACTGTCGAGTTGTTTTTGTGCCCTTTAGTTTCACTGTCTGACGTCACAGCACATATAACGCCAACATCGGCGACGTCACCAGTGGCTACTGCCGCCAAAATAATAGTCACGGCTTCTAAGACCGGTACTGCGTCATCAGAGCCTGATATAGCCTTCCCGGCTGTCCTTAAAGGGTCACAAAAGCAGAGAGTACCACCTCCTGTACCGCCAAGAGGGTCGCCAAAAGCGAAACGTGGCGGTGCTAACTCGCAATCATCCAGTCTGGATATGAAAGGTGATTATCCCAAATTAGACATATCTGTTAATGATATTCCACCTCCGACACCTATAACGAGCAGTGACGACGATTTCTGTTTTTATGGGCATGATTTTAAGTTTAAACAGCCTGTTGCATGCCATATTGCTCCATCTGTGTCTGAGCATTCAGTTAAAGTGACGAAATTGGTTGCGTCCAACTCTTTTCTAGATTACATTGAAGAGGGAGACAGTATTACAGAAAGATCGCATCCTGGTAAAGATTTGATAGCCCAAACCACTATGATGGCTAAGTTTAATATAAATAAAGCAGTTCTAGAACACTTGGATTCCGGAGAATATGATGACAATTCGCTTACAGAGTCTAGTAGCGAAGAAAGAATTGTAATATACGAACTGAGTGATAACGAGGTTAACATACAAAGCAGTCAGTCTGAATGTTCTTCGCAATTTATAAAAGGAATGGTAACGCAGATTGATGATGAATGTGCAAGAAAATCCCCGATAGTTGTTAAATCGTCTACTGAAAAGGTTAGTGTACATAATGTAAAATCTTCTGATTTAATTTCGGCAGCAAAAAAATTAAAGAAAATACCGCACATAGATAAATTTATGCAAAATGAACCAAAAGGAATTGAAAGTAAATTCGAAAAATGTGATACAAAGTCCGGAATAATAACAGGTTTAACTAAAAGATTAAATTTCAATCAATCCAAGAGAGATAAAAATCGTATACAAGACGCAAAGAAACCAAAACCTAACATAGTGATTAAGCCTTACTCTGAAGAGCATTCTAAAGGATTGAACAATGATGATGTTGTCTGTCATAGAAAAGCCAAAACTAAGATTGACATGTTTCAAAAACATATACGAAAACTTCAATCGGATTCAGAGAACAGTTCTAGAAGAAGTTCTATGTCCTCGTTGCAAGACAGTAAAAGACCACAAAAGACGCTAGAAATAGGAAGGCCATTGGTAAAAGAGACTAAGAAAATGTTCGAACCGATCAAATTTGCTCATGGCAGTACAAGTTCAAGTGATAAAAAATCCAATTATTCATTAAATGTAACTACAATTACTCCATTTGTATCTAAAGCAATTGCTGGTAATGTACATGATAAAATTAAGAAGTTTTCAGAACCTACAGACTCTGAATCTAAGGCACCAAAAAAAGTTGCTAGACGAAAGAAAAAAGGTAGTTTCAAAAAAAGATCCGATATGAAAAAGATATTTAAAATGAGGAAAGATGTCGAAGAAGTCCTGTAAATTACACAGTAATAGAAAAAATAAAAACCGACTTAGTAATTATAATTCCATGAAATGCATGTCTTGAATCCAAAAGGATATTTATAAAAAAATATTTTGTCTAATGAATTTCTACTTTTTTTATTAACTAGTAGATACCTCTTAGTACCTATGTAGTTTCTTTGTATGTAGTGGATTAAGTAATCTTTAACCTCATGTTGTTTTCTGTACTCGTTCCTTGTCACTGCCATTATTAATTGATTAATCCAATATTATATGTTATAATGTACTAATCTGCCCGGTATGTTGTATGTTTAGTTTTTAGTATTCCAGTCACATAATTTTTAGTACTGCACTTTGTAGGTTTACATACGTTTGTTGCTTTCCTAACTTATTTGCCTTCATAAATGGATTGTTGTCGATCATCCTAATATATAGTTTAATCAGAACTGTAATTATTTTCCCAATTAGTAGAATAGAAGCTAATATAACGCTAGTGATTATACCTAGTAATGCTAGTTCATTGTCAGCTGCCGCGCCGTTATCCTGTTGCTCAACCCCGCCTCCGCCGTTTGAAGAAGCACCACCACCGAGGACTAGTCGGACTAACTCGTCGTCAACAACGTCATCGAGTGCGTCAGGCCGACGTCGCGGTGCATCAAGCGCTGCTAGTGTCATGACAACGTCATCAGCGTCATCGTTAGCATTGACACCAGCAGCATTGAGTAGCGCACGTAGTAATGAGGCCAGGTAATTTATACTTGTAACTTCTCTATATTAAGTTCTTCCTTCTTCTTGAGGATTCCTTATTCTGACCTAATTTATTCACCATAATGGTGTGATCTGATGGTAATCACTTACCATCTGATATCCAAAAATTCGTTTGTTTCCTATGTTATTAAAAGAAAGTATTTTGTAAATTACAAACCATTAGAATAATAAAGTAATGTTATATATGCAGTGTATGCTGGACTCCGCCTGCATCAGTGGAGGGCTCCACTCCGACGTGGACGGAGGGAACGCCTAGCTTTACTGAATCCAGTAGTAGCGAACAAGGTAAATAGACTACTGACACGTACGTTTGGCCGCGTATCGTCCATCGCCCGGTGAAGCTGTAAAGGCCCGCTGCGGCCAAAAGCATTGGGATAGTCCCAAATAAAGATTATCCGCGTCAGTTTCTGTTCTTCGCACGAAACAAGCACTTGTATTCATGTTTACGATACTTTGTATTAATCTTGGTCTAATATATATATATATTATGTATGGGATGTTAGGGAAAAAAAAAATATAAAGACTTGACGTCCATAAGCGGCTAAAATGTTTTACATGAAAATTTTTTGTTATTGATTTTGATTTTAATTATTTTTAGTTATTCTATTGTGTATGAAACAGTTTTGGTAAATAAATAAATTATATTATTTATTATTTTTTTTATTTTGATTCTCATTGTCATATTGATTTTCATTTTCATTTTGATTTTAAACTTGATGTAGATTTTTTATTTTATTTTTATTTTATTTTTAGCGGTTATGTTGGGGCCGCTATTATTTATCTTTATTGTGTGTTCCTTGTATTGTAGCAGCAGCAGGAAAGGAGGAGGTGAAATAATGAGTCCAGTGATGGCAATTTACATATTTATATTAACGGAGTATTTACAATTACAAATGTACATAATAAGTATATTTACAAGATGATTCGGTCTTGATTCTATCAGTTTCTTCTATCAGTTGTTTAGTACCCATAGTACAGGCTGTGCCTATTTTGGGATATTTGTTATATGTATGCCTTATTGCCTTACCTGGGCTATTATTATTGTACCGTTTAAAATTCAATTGTATGTAATTAATTATGATTTATTTTGCCATTAATTACAGGCTACCCCCTGACCCCCGCTCGAGGGGCCACCCCTAGCGACGGACGGCGTTCCCCCCGCCCACCGCCGCCGCCCCGCACCGTACCACCCTCCACTATCAACTGTCTCACAAGTGAAGTGGTGAGTTGACTGAATTATTTTAATATATATTTATTTTATTAATTTTCGAGCGTGGTCGATTACTTTTTAAATCACTTTTTTTTTTGTATGCTATGATCAAAAATATTTTTATATTTAAAAAATATACCTATATTTTGTAAATTAGAAATTTGTTTTTTTTTAAGAATTATTCTAGTAATGTAAATATTCAATCTCGATATTTTACTAGTGAAATTATTAAAGGACTATCTTTTTTTAATAATATACAGCCATTATTCGTTGGTTATCTCACTTTTTATAGGTAACAGCATTATTAAAACGACTAAGTATTTATTGAGTTTATGCATTACAAAGAAAAATTTTTTTTATATATTATATTAGTTTACATTTTATATCAAATATAAGTCTAAACACATGTTATTAATACACATACACACTCAAACCACTATTATTAACACATACAAAACTGCCTATGATAAGAGGATTAAAAAATCTACACGAAACGTGATTTGTTATTAATGTGGGCCGATATCTAAAAAAAAATAACTTTATTATATAAATTATTTGCGATTGTACAAAAATAGGTAACAGATTATTACTGATTTGCAAACTTAGGTATATTTATTATCGACCTCGCTCGGAAATGTCTAACCTAATTCTAAATATCCTTCATAACACTGGTATGTATTGTTTTCACGTGGTTTCGGGTTTTTATATGAAATATATAACTTTATATGTTTATGTATGGGCTACACTATAGCTTTTATAACATTAAAAAAATTAAGGGTACAACTTTGTTGACATGTCTACGCTTACCTATGAAAAAAAATTAAAACATCATTAATTTTTTAGCGCAATTTTATTTATACAGGAGCGAAGTAAAAGTCTTTAAAAAGAAAAAAGTCTATGCTTTGAAGTCCTAAGAACAAGTATTTACTGTTCTTAGATGGACACTCAAACATAGACAAGAATAAAATCAGGACCCCATACAGTATGATTTTAACAAATGAATATACAGCTAAATAGCATTAACAAATAAAAAAAATTCCTGTATTTTTTTGAAATGTTTTGGTAACAGTTGTACCATTGATTTTTCTAGACCTTCGTTACTAACACGCCTGATCTGAATTATAGTAAATTTACAGTAATACATTTATAGCCTATATACTGCTATATTTAATATTAATGCTATTTATTTTTGGACGCTGCTTCATGGTGGGTTATAGATGCATTTGAAAGAAAAAGTAGAATACGATTACAAATGATAAAAAAAAAACATATAATTACGCTTCAAGTTTTTGTAACATTCCGGCGTTAGCTTCTTAGAAAACTTATGTGATTTCGTGTAAAGGCCATTTGTAATAATCACAAAAAATGGTGCTTCCATTTCGAGGAAGATAACTAGCATCCGCTAGTGGGTTCATGTGTTTTTTTTAATAAAATTCTAGCAATAATATCAGTCGATTTTGTGTGATTTTATACCTAATCTTATGTTCTAATCTATGGTATTTGTTGTGTTTTTAAATCTAAAATGGAACGCTCGACGTGTGCAGTTCATATAACTGAAGCCAAAACGCGGACCTATTTTTTAAATTTTTGTTCTAGCAAAATGTAGTGTCGTAGCCATGGTCATGTTATTCATAAAAAAAAACAACTTTACAAGGCTTATTTCGTAATAAGAATAAGGTTAAAATAAAAGGTCCCGCTTGCTAAGAATTAGTAACGACTAATTTTGTATTTTTACATTATATAATTTTGCATTACACATTATTTCAGTTTTATATTTCAAATTTTTACTTATTTTAGAATTGTATGTGTAAGTTTTAACTTTTGACAGACTGATTACAAACATATTTGGAGATAAACACCGTAAATACGGTACATATTTGCAATATGTATTAAAACATAGTGACAGATTGTCTATGTGCTATTAAAACTGCAACAGAATCTATCATTATCATTAATAGCAGACTACTCCCACAGTATACCAATTTTAAAATGTATAAATTGTGTATTCATCAACTATACATTGAAACGTCACATTCTGTCTGAAGTATGTCAAAGTCAATGTCAATGTCAATGTGTGATGTTGATTAATCTAATAATGTTACTCTCTCTCTTGTTAATTATCTGTCATTGTGTAAGTTTATAAGCTTCCTAATAAATATTAAATATAAAATATAGACTGCATATTATTTTAAAATATCATATAAAACATGGCGCAGTGGTATTTACTGTAAGTCTAAACAGTGTATTTCGGCTATAAATATATCAAATCTGAAGCTTACCACGGATTAAAATTTCAAACAACATGGAGCGTAGCTGGGTGAAATTGCCCCCAAACTTCGACATTCGAGCTCAATCTGCAGCAACTGAATGGAGAGCGTGGAAAAGCATGTTTATAGATTATCTAGTGGCTGTCGGTAGTGACAAGGCTACAGATCAAATTAAATTATCTCTGCTGAGGAACATGATGGGTCCTGAGTCGACGAAAATCATATTATCGTTTAAGTTATCAAAGGAAGATAGTGAAAACTACAATAAAGTGTTACAAGAAATTGAGAATTATGTCAAGCCTAAATCTAACGACGTTTTTGAAAGGTACAAGTTTAATGAAAGAAAACAATTGGAAGGTGAAAATTTTGAAAGTTTTTACACTAATTTAAGGTTACTGATTGTAAATTGTAATTATATGGAGTCTATAGAGGATGATTTACTAAGAGATCGTATCGTTCAAGGCATCTTCGATAAACAATTACAAGAAAGTTTACTCCGAGTCGAGAACTTGACGTTGGACAAAGCTACAAGTAGATGCAGAGCAGCAGAAGCTAGCCGTTCTCAAGTAATGGAAATGAATCCAACCTGTATTGAAGTAGATAGAGTAAAGAGTTATGGAAATAAAAGAACTGAGAAGAAGTTTCAAAGAAATATAAATAATAAATTTGATTGTCGTCGTTGTAAAAGTCAGCATGGTCCGAGAGAATAAATATTAAATATAAAATATAGTGTCCTGCATATGGGAAAAAATGTGCAAAATGTGGTATATTAAATCACTTCGCAGTGAGCTGTAAAGTGAAGAAAATAAGTGAAGCTGTGTGTAATAAATCAAATTCATCAAATGAAGAGTTATTTTGTGGAGTAGTGTTGTCAAATATAAAAAAGAATAGAAGTGAGTGGGAAGAAAATATACAAATAGAGGACAAAATTTTTAAGTGCAAGCTAGACACAGGAGCGGATGTGAGTATTCTGCCAAAGAGTGTATTTGATAAATTAAATTATAAGTTAAATTGTAAAATTCAGAAGACAGAGTTAACAGTACAATCTTTTACTGGAGAAAATATTAAGCCAATAGGCATTGTAAATCTTAAATGCAAGTATAAAAATAAAATATGTAATGAGAATTTTGTCATAGCTGAAGCAAGTAACATACTTTTAGGTTTGCCGGCATGTGTCTCATTAAATTTGGTGAAACGAATTCATAGTGTTCAGGTGACAAATAATGATAAAGATAAATTTGTAAATAATAATATAGTAGTTTTTGAAGGAA